GTTACTTGCTGTGAGGTCCAACGCTGGTGCAGTGGCTTGAGAACCCTCTGGCAAGAGTAACGAACAAACTGGGATGCACCTTGTGATTGCACTGGTGTGGCCTCCCTGATGCCTTGTCACTGCCCTCTGCCATTCCTCCAATACATTACAAAGAACTGACACAAGAATTTCCTGAAAGGAGTCATCGTTACTTATTGTGCTGGTCCTGTGCAAATCTGCAAGGACACGGATTCACTTGTTCATTACTGGCATTATTCATTAGGCCATGAGTGCAACCGAAAGAAGCACCACCTACTCACACAGTAATTACACCTGCCTCCAAAGCACCTTCTCATTCAGTTGCTACTTTTGTCTTCCCTCCACCCCAAGCTTGTCCTCTGCTGAATTCCAAATACACATGCTGGACAATCCAAAACCATTTTACCAGTTCCAAAAAGTCGAGAGTGCTTCACAGTTTGGAACAGTTCTCTCTCTCTCGCTCTCACTCTCTCTCTCTGCCATATGTCTCAGTTGTTTCTTTCCTGCTTGCTTCCATTGTGTAAAATAGACTGCTCTCCCTGAAATGGAGAGCTTTGACCCACCTGCATTTCCCAGGAAGTTCCATTTATTTGGAATACAATAAGCACACCGATGAGTGAAAGTTAAAGACGTTATTAAGCACAACCCAGTTGACAAAGCAGAAGGAAGCAAAATCTTCCAAGTGAATGAGTGCAGACAGGAACCATGAAGTGCATCCGTAAGCAGGTCCCTCTAGTTGCCTGAGACCAGATCAAACTATAGCAACATATGAGACTATAGTGCTAGCCTGTGGCACATAGTCTCTCTCTAGATCAGGCCATGTTAAGATTTCAACCTGGGAGCATCTCAGCACTTCATGGATACTACTGTGCTCACATGAAACTTATCCCTGTTCTGGAGCGAGTCCAAAGATTTCAGGAATGTGTGGTTGTAACCAGCAAAGTAACTCAATCCCAGCTACTCTGGCCAATCTTGAAATCTAACCAAACCAGCCAGCCTCTTAAGAGAAACCACACCAAACCAAACCTGTATCTTGGAAGAAGCAACTTAGTCCTAGAAGTTACAGGCCAACTAGAAATCTAGTCATTAGGAGCAGCAATTACTCCCAAAAATAGGTTCAGCATCAGAAAACTTTGTTAAAGATTAGAGTACAGTTTATAGTGGATATGCAGCCCTTCTGACATGGGAACCACTGGTCGTCTTCACTGGCAGTTTGTTGGACACCACTAAAGTCCTTGAAACAGGAGTTGTCTTCCATGCTTCCTACACCACCCTATTGTAGATAACTTTGAACAGGGACCTGTTTTTTCAGTTTATCATTCATAGAATCTCCTGACTCTATTGTTGACTTTGGAGTCACTTTCTGTCACTGGATGTCACTATTTGCAAATTACTGCTCAATAGAAAATTTGAGCTTTAGTACCTCTAATTGCTGCTTGTAGAATTTGCCCTTAAAAACAGAAGTTGTGCTAGAACAATATTTTTAGTTTTGTTTAAAACTAATATTCCTGCAGTTGAAAAGAGCTTGAAATTGTATAAAAGGCTGCTAGCACTCCTGAACATTTCTGTGCATTCAGAAATGTGTTTGTAAAATGGTTCATTCTTCAGTTTTTATATATTTGCCTTCCTTTACACTTGAAAATCTAACATTTTAAATGCTGTATTAATAAAATTGTCCCAAGAATTTATCTAAATTCAACACATTACCATTGACAGTAGTTGCAGCTGTAGCTTGCTTTAAAAAGTTTCTCAATATGACTAGAGATCCATAAAAAATATTTATAAAAACAGTGGAATGCACTCCAGTTAAGAAGAAAAAACTATTCATAACCTTGGAAGACCAAGTGCTGGATAGAAACAAATGCTATGCATCTCTTTATTTGTCTGAAAGTGCCTGTTAAATACAAAATAAACAGCAAGAAGAAGTTGGATCCATTGTTTTTGTGAAGTTATTGTCTGTGTTCATGCAACATAGTTGGTAATGGATGCAGTTTTCAAGACATTTTTCTGTATGAAGTCAGTTCAACACACAAACAATAGTTTGCAAATAACAGCTTTTCCCAGGCTCAATCAATTCTATGTGCATACAGTATCTTATGAGGCTGGAGAAATTGTCTTGACTTCTGTTCTCTCCTTCTGCATTTGATGGGCATGATGGCTTGTCTTGTTGGAAAAGCATCGTTATTAAAACTAAAAAGTAAGACAATTAGCACCACTTGCAACTTGTATGAGGTTTTGAAGATGTATATCTAACCAGTAATCCTTTTTGATAAATGTGAATAAGTAATGGAGGGCACATGTCTAGGATATTTAAGTGATGGTGGGAGCATAGATAAATTTAATAGGAGACTTCCATTCCCTGCCATTTGACTGGAACTGCTTTGCCTTCATCTCTTTTAATGTGTTGCATGATTTAAGTCACATGATTAGGAGCTGTTGGCAAAAGTGAGCAACATAATCAAAGTTTTGGGGGAAAGAAGACCAAAGTTCATTTTCAGTGGGAATGTGATCCAGAATTTATAATTCTGGATGAAATGGGAAATGATGTGATAATTGATGAAAAGGATGTCTCTAACTTTCACTAGAAGAGGTAAGTAGAAAATATTCTGCCAGTTCTAACACTTGCTAGACACTCCAAAATGTATTCTGTGACATGCTTTAGAAGTCCTCCACCCCTTCCCCCTGGCAATCTTCCTTAGTTAGGAGTATGTTTATTCAAGTGTCTTGATTCAACAGTGAAGGACAAATTAACAGAAGCAATACACAGAAGGAATGGGGCCTTACAGATAATGAGCACTGCACAAAAATGGACATGTTTCGTAGAGTACAGAATGTACATTGTGGGCATGCAACCTTGACAAGACTGTCTTTGCAATGGTGGGCGATCTTTTACCCCTTGAGGGCTGTACGCAACGCCAGGTAGTGGGTTGGGGGCCACATGTGTAAGTGCACAGGTGTGCCTTCGTGCACAGAATCCCATGTATGTGCAATGGATGCTAAACTCCCACCTTCCACCCCTGCTGCAGTCCTGGCTGCACTGGAATTACTGTGGGAGGGAGAAGCTAAAGTTCACTCTGCCTCACCCTGGCCCTTAATGGGAGCAAAAAAAGTATTCTTTGCTGCTCTGGGTCACACAAAATTAACCCTAGCAGGTTCGTGAGAGTGCAGCGAATGTCTGTCACAAGGAAAGCCATCCCTGCACACCCTCTTTCCAGCACACTCATGCCAGGAGCAGTAGAGGTGGTGTTGGAAGAGTAGCACCTGATGCAACAGGCTTTAAAGGAAACATCGGTAGCCTGTTGGAGTCCCCTGTGGCTGCCTATATGTGTTGTACAATTATTTGTGCTTGTTGCATGATTCTTTTAAAAAAATCCTTATTTTAAAAAAGAGGTCTCGTATGGATAACTGCATGTCTTCCACTGAAAATATATTCAGAAATAATATTTATAAATAAGAATGATTTGATTGGTCATGCCAAAAATAAATCAGCAATTACTTCTGTTGATCAAGCTTTCTGGCCTGACTTGTCTGCTGGATGTTTCTTGCTTGCCATTCATCTTGATGGACCTGTTCAATGCAAAGCAAACAATGAAAAGATAATACATGCACGGATTTTGTGAGATTATCAGTTGCATAGATGTCTCTTGATATGTGAAGGAAGACAGAAATAAAGGTGCTATAAGCAAGAAAAATAAACTTCAGGCATCTTGTTTATTTTTTCAATGTCTCCCATCATCTGCTACCTGAAGCAATGGCCTCACTGTGCCTCACAGTAGGACCAGCCTTGCCATCACACTTGTGAATTTGACACGGACTGGAAATAGAATGGTCCCTCGACCTCTACAAATAGTTAATACACCTTATCAATTGTGGAAATAGCATACAACTGAGAATTCTTGTAGAGAGACCACGTCATTTCTGTCACAGTGTCATTTCTATTTTTCACTTGACAATCCATTGCTGAAAATGAAGACAAAAAAAATAAAAGGAAGAGTGTACTGACCAACACAGCGTGGTGGTGTTTGCCATGCTCCCCCTTCACACAATATTTTTGGTGGTCCCAGAAGATGGAAATGCTCTTTGCAGCGGAAGGCTATCTCTTCACCACTCTCATAGTTTCTCAGCTCAGCTATATGAATAGCATTTGGAAGCTGTGGTGGATGTGGGCAGAATTCTTCAACAAAACACACACACATATGTATTATTTAGAACTTAATGATGAAAAATTATGTGGAAGACCTTGAAAACACAGGCAGTTAAGTAATATCTTACATCTTCCCATGCTTTCCCATTCCATGGGTGAGTTCAAAAGTGCTAACTAGTTAGCCGAACCGGTCATGATCCAAATAATTTCCTGCATAAATCTGCTTGAGCAGCAGAAATAGTGAGATCCATTCCAGGGGTATTTGTTCCTCTTATTGCCTCCGTCAGCCTCCCTATAACTCAGCGCAGCAACTGGGTGTTTCAAGATCTGATGTTGGAATTCATGCTTATCTCCTTTCCTAGTTAGCATGCAATCCTGTTGAAGTTTCCATGCTTCTTGTACTGCATGAGGTCACACTAGCAGGCCAGAAGTAATAAAGCCAAACGCAAAGGTTCTTGCAGGCCTCTGCAGTGGGCATAACATTTGAGTTGATCTTTGGGCTGCAACTCTGAGATCCAAACTGTACTTCATGCTAACTGCATGGTGTGTCATTGAGGCTTATTGTATTCTGTATTCCAGTGGAAGTGTGCTCTCTTCCAATTTGGATCATGACCACTATATACTGGAAGAGTGGAAGAGGAGAATCAATCCCACACTTGCCTCCCGGAACGTCCTGGGGGTGTTAATGAAAGAAGAAAGGAGTCTATTGGCATCAGTGGAGGCTTGATTATCCCCTTCCAGTGTGTGGTTGTTCTAGTCTAAATCAGGGCTGCACATACTTACATTAAAGAAAATGCTGAGACTCTAGCTCAGTGTATAGTTTGGCTTTCAGAAAGGTCATGCCAAGAAAGAACAAGCTAGATATAATTGTGGAGGCATCAGCAAATGTGGTTTACGAGGTGTGCCCAGAAAGTAATGAGAATGAAGTCCCTACACTCAAGAAGGGCTCTGTGAAGGGAGAAGCTGGCCAAGGTCACTTGGGGTGGGGTGCCAGATATGCATCAGAACACTGATCAGTTGCATTCCAGCCCTGTCAGAGTTGAGACATTCTCTTCTATGACGCCCTGTTCAAGTGTCTTGTATTAAGAAAAATGCAAGCAAGTTTGGAACAGCGGTACGTGATAAAATTGCATGAAATTGGGTAAAAGTGCATCAGAAACTTTGGAAATGGCGAGGAAAGCTTATGGAGAAGCTGTGCTATCGTCTGCACAAGGGTGCTGATGGCTCAAGCTGAGATCAGCTCAATTTGGATCCTTCATCACAACAATGCACCGAGTCACAGTGCTTTGGCTGACAGAGAGCTTTTGGCTGAAAAACACATCACAGTGCTTCCCCATCCACTCGACAGCCCCGACTTGGCTCCTAGCAACTTTTTATGTTCCCAAAGATGAAGAATGGTTTGAAAGGACACCATTTTGGAAGTGTAGATAAGGTCCAAAGGCTCTGAATGCCATCCCACTTGAAGACTTCCAGGGATGCTATGAAGAATGGAAAAATCACTGGGAGCATTGTGTACACTCACAAGGTGCATACTGTGAAGGAGACAATATTCAATTGTAAAAATTTTCAATAAAATAATTGTAAAAATATCATTCTCATTACTTTCTGGACACACCTCCTGTTTCCCTGGAATGACTAACATTTTGTTTGCTTAATTCCACTTAGCAAAACTGCTTCTGTTCATAAAGTGAGTGCATCCACTGCATGGCACCACACTAGAAGAGTGAGGCAAACAGGCATTCCTGAATGGATAAAACACTTTTGCTACTGGTGGCCCTACTGGCCATGCTCATTAAAAACCAAAACCAAAAACAAAAGCAAATACTTGCAGATTGCATGCAGAACTGTACCTTTGCATTCTGGTGTTGGTAGCCATTCCCCATTAACACATTGTGCTTTACGAAGACCGAAACCACAGTTGTAACTAAAAACATCATTATTCTTATACGCATATTTCAGAGGAGTAGGTGTGATGTTGTGTGGATGGCTACAACTTCTTGCATGACCTAGCAATTCAGAAATTGTTCAGATAAGGTCATTTGTTATCAAATGCAAAGAGAAGGAAATAATGAACTTGGAAATCTCAGTAGTACTTATTCATATGGGATTATATATAGAAACAGAGTGAGTCAGAAGGGGCCTCCCAGGCCATCTATTCTGACCCCTGGCTCCAGCCGGCTCCGCTCATAACATGCCTACCATGTGCATGTTTAGCCTATCCATGAGCACCCTCACTAATGGGGCTTCAACCACCTCCCATGGAAGCCCATTCAATACCCTTGGGGTTCTAACTGTCAGAAAGTACTTCCTGGCATCCAAATTGAACCTTGGTTCCTTGAGCTTTGCTCCGTTGGAGTGTGTCCTGCCTTCCTATGTAGGGAAGAACAGGTTTCTACCCACCTCCGTGTGAGATCCCCTCACATACCTATATGTTGCCAACAGATTCTCTCAAGAATTTTTCAAATGCCCTTAATTATTGAAATATTTATCTCCCACCCTTCATTATCAAATCACAGGCTGGTTTGAAAAATCAATGGAAAATAAGTTCAAAAATAACAGCAAAGCTAGAAATAAAGCTAGTAAGGGTACAATCCTAGGTCAGTAGGCAGAGTTTAGATAGTCAAGAGAAAATTTGAGGCCCCAGCTCCAACCTCAGAAAAGCATTTTGCAGTTAGAGTAGGCATTCCGACTTAGGACAGTGCAGTCCTTCTTGTCCCAGAGCTCAGAGTCTGGTAGGTAGAGACGTGAAAAGGAATGGTGGAAGTCAGGCTCCACCAAGCTACAATGTATCCTGGCAGTGGCTCACTCTGTCCTCCTCGTGTATAGGGAGAAGGACTTCAATAGCCGAACTTGGGTTCTTCAGGACAAGAGAAGCATGGAAGTGACCTTCACCTCCATACTCCTCTTGACTTTGATAGGATGTCTGCCGTCCTCTTAGTTTGTAGAATTATGAGCAGCCACATTGGATTGCACTCTCTGCTAGGTATAAAAATCAGTCTGAAGAAACAGATTGCATTGCAATCAACCCCAAGAGCTGCCTATCATTCACCTTTTACCATAGAGGAACAAAGCAAAGAAGTCATGATTTGCTCTAAGCTCAGGTGGTGGAGGGGCATGTGCCTGGGTCTTCCAGCCACATGTCTATTGTTCTATTCAATGGACCAAACACATTCTCAACTGCATAATTTCATATGCTATTAAAACTAATACAATCTAAGAAGTTCCCACATAACTATGATTTGCTTACTGATGCACGAAGGGAACGTCCATTCTCCATGAAGGCATTTGGCTGGGTTGGTTCCAACAATGTCAAAATTTTCTTCACATTCATATGCCACAGTTTTACCATGAATATATTTGCCTGAATCCACTCCGATAGCATGTCCTCTAATGATATTGGGAGGTGGTCCACATGTTTTGAATTCCTCTGTTGCAATCAACATGAAGAAATAACGATAAAAATACTAGACCTTCATTCCTTCATTTGTGCATGGCGGTTCCACTTTCCTCAGCATCTCCAACACATCTGATAAAACAAAGCTAGAGAGCCTTCCTTTTTTATCCCATCTGCAACTACACCATTTTGCAAAAGTAGAATAAACAAGGTTACTTGTGCAGTGATGCATTGATTTAATGCAGCTGTTTTGCTACCATCGCCAGTGTCACATAATGGAACCTAAGACTGGAATTTATAAACGCACCAAGAACCCACTCCCTCTACCCCAACTGCAGAACACCATGCCCACTCCAATATAGTCCTACTACACATTTCTCTATTGGTATGAGAACTAAAGTTTCATTACAGTGTAAGGAGAGCTCTTGACAGCATAATGGAAGAAGCAGTTCATCACATGATTGCAGAAGTTTGGTCTCAATCTTCACCATGATGCATTGATTCAGTGTAAATTTTTAGGGCAAAATCCCAAGGCCTCCTGAGGTCTTCTGATCTCAGTCTTGGAACTTTCTTTGCACCCCCTCAAAGCTAGCAAAAAAAGAGCTGCACTGGCTGCCACTCCGAGGTTGCAACTGCACCGGGGGGCGGGGATGGGAGGGGTTAGGGAGACAAAGAGGCTACAGTTGCAGAGTTGCTCTGATTTCAATGGGTGTCTCTGCCTCCTTCCTTCCCTCTCCTTGGCACTAAAGATAGATGCCTGAACGTGGCCATTTAGATGACATGGCACAAGATGTGGTGGCAATGGAGATCATCACCACCGTGCCTTAGAACTTTGTACTGGGTTCTTCTAGGCCTTCAAGTTCAGTGTTTTATGAACTTCTCCTGTGGAGGCAATAGGATTACTCCCTTAGGATTTTGTTAGCATATAATAAATGTGAATAGCAAGTTGGAACATATATGTCATACATAAAGGGCTAAGCCACCATTCAAGCTCTTTTTCAACTGTTCCAACTTCTCCTTCTGACCTTCTAGAACGTCATCTCAGCTTAGGGAGCTGAATTCTGTTCTGTGCACCAGCAAATACAGCAACTACAGGTGAGAATCCCATGAACAGGACTCCTATGGTGTCTTGCTTTGCGCAGCATGCTGTGCCAAATAATTCTCGTTTTATTCTAAAAGCTTATACAAAAATATTACAGCAGAATAAACGTCTTTTGCAATAATAATCTTTATGACTTAAAAAATGCAAGCTTTATAGTACATCTGCCTGAGGAGTTTTCATCGAATCAGATAATCTTTGTAATATTTGTCTTCTCTTATTCTCACATGATTGGTCAGTTTTGACATACTACATTTGTTATGTTCTCACTTTTATTCTATCCATTGTATCCATTGTATCCATTATTACCACATATGTAATCATATCTTCAGAGTGTACAGGCTGATCCTTAACATAATTCCAATCATAGTTTCAAACCAATTCCAAGTTGAGATGCATTATTACCCTGCCTTTTCTTATTCTCTTGCATTTGAGCAGATTCACCATAAATGAAGATAATTTTCATCATCTGTTTGACATATCCAACTTTTTTTGCTGACTGTGCCTTAAATAATAATGTTACTGAGCATGGACCTAGGGCATACATGAAATGTCAGAAAGTATCAAAGTCTGCTACATTTTCAAATTTTGAATTTTTTGTTTCAAGGGCTTTGTGTATGCATGTGCATCAAAATTTGATCTATACATCCAGCATTAAATTCAAGCACTGCTGTTATCATTCAACATTTGAGATGGCTGTAAAATAAATCCAATATAACATTCACAAAATTGTGCTGCCTCATTTACAAATTATTTATAAAATGCTGCCAAACAGTATCTGTTGCTATGTGTTAACTTTCAGATCGAGGATAAATACTGACTACTACTGCAAAACCTGTGGAGCTCAACATTAGCACATGCAAAAAGTTTTCCTGAAAATCTTTGCAATGGAAAAGTTTGAAAATTCTTGAAGCAGATTTTTTCAAAGAACAATTTGTTTCTGTATGACAAAACCCAGATGGATTCCAGTTAACTGTGAAAGCTTAACCAAGAAACATAGAAACAGAACAAGTCAGAAGGGGTATCCCGGGCCATCTAGTCTGACCCCCGGCTCCAGCTGGCTCCGCTCACGACAGTTCTGTTTCTAATGAAAGCCAATCTGTGAATGATCTGCAGAAACTATGTTTATTTAAAGTACTATATTCAATAACTGTGGGCATCATTTACATGGTAATGCAATCAAGACACTTGATTTTACTTTATACTGTGTGAATTAAGTTGTGCATCCTGCTTCAAATGTTCTACTCCACATTTCATTAAAAATAAAATATTCTATTACCACTGTTTTGAAATCTAGTGGGTACCCAAAGAAAGGGGCTTAGCAAAATACAAAATCTACATACAGTGAAAGCCACTGAGATGATCTGCAGATTATGTCTTTTTGTGAGCATATCTTTCTTGCAGCGATGGTTTACCTATACAAGATGGTAAAGATGTCCATTCTCCATCAACACACTCAACCATGCTTGAGCTGGCCTTTACAAATCCAAGATCACACTCATATTCCACTTTTTCACCATGGGGATATTGGTCACGGAGATCGCTAACAAGCCGGCCATGTGGAATACTGGGTGGTGGCTGACAAGGGTTGACTTGCACTAGGAGTAAGAGAATATTATTCCAATATTGACCTCTTTACTATCAGTATATGCCACATAAAAATACTTTCTGGTAGTTCTACTTACAGTTGAGGTCCATGGATTCATTTCCTCTCTGGGACGGATCTGGGGGCACCATGACGCAGGGTGAGACACCCACATCAGGGGTTGGAGTAGGAGCAGTGGCAAATGGGGCTGTTCCCCCACTCCCCTGCCAGGCTGCTGGCAGTACTTCAGAATCCCTCAACAGTCAGTCTCCTATCATGGCTCCACCACAAGGAAGAAGATGCCAGAATTGCCCTCCAGAAGAACCTTCCCCCCTTTGCTTTCCTTGTCAAGATCTGCACAACCAGAACAAGTCATTGGGAGCCCCTTGCTAGCTATCATGAGATCGGGACAGTTGCTCTTCTAGCTGTGTGGTTCTTCATAGAGTTTACATGATGTTGATGTCAGAAGGTAAAGGGAGCAGTGGAGAATTGAAGGAGAAGACAATGGGGCTGCAAGGGGTGGAACACAGGAGAGGCAGGGGGCACAATTAATCATCATTCCCCACTTCAGGCAGCCAGAGAGCTTGTGCTGGAGCTGCCAAGAGGAAGATAAGGTGCTGGTTATGACCTATAATGCCCTAAATGACTTGGGCCTTAGATACCTGAAGGAACACCTTCTCCCCTATATGCCCTCCAGCCCCTTGAGATCTGAGGCAGAGGTCCTTCTCTGGGAGCCCTCCTTGAAGGAAATTAGGAGGGTAAGTATCCAGAAGAGGCCTTCTCTGTGGTTGCACCCTGACTATGGAATACGCTCCCCAGAGAGGTTCGCCTGGTGCCAACATTATATTCTTTTTGGTGCCAGGCAAAACCCTTTTTTATTTTCCAGCTATTTTAATGTTTATTTAATTTTAACGGGGGTTTTAGTATATTAATTGTTTGGATGCTGTGGTGTTTGTTTACTTCTACTCATTTTTTGTATGCTGTCTCGAGACATCTGTAGAGGATGGGTTAGAAAAGTTTCTAATAAATGAATGGATAAATAAATAAGATAAAGGCCTGCTGTGAAAGCCGATGCACCTTCATACAGTGCTGCATCTTTCCACAAATACCAAGCTTCAGAGAAATGCTGGCTTTAGGAATGCAAGTCTGCTGTAAACTGGGAGCAAATTGCTAAAGATAACTTTTTAAAAAATCTAATACTCTTCGTTAAATCTGTAAACCTGTGCATTGTCTAATGAACAGCATTCTTCATATACCTTGGAAAGCTATAAAAATAAACAGATGACAGGAAATTTTAAGAAAGCCAAGTACATGGATAGTGACTTTTTAAGCTGCATTAGAAAAGTTTGTACCTTTACAGATTGGAGGCGGTGGAGACCATCCGAAGTAGTAACACTGAGCAGAGTCAGGCCCTACTCTTGTGTAACCCCTCTTACAGGAAAATTTTACCACATCTTTGTGCAGGTTCTGGTCATTTTTTGGCTTAATGTCTCCATCCTCAAGAAAGGGACTTTCACACTGGATTGCTAAAGCAAAGATCAAGTAAAATAGCAATATGAGTAAGTGCATTTCAGAAAAAGGGGAATAAAATAAGTGTGCCAAGCAAATGTTTGCAAATGATTGGGTGAGTTAATGCAGGATTATACAACCAGTGTCTCTCTAAGGTGAGAAACAGCTGTAATATTAAGAAAGGCCACACACTGTTCCCCTTCATTACAGCATGGTCTTGTGTTCTTTCTACATTCACTATTTATATTATAAATAGCAACTCATTAGCAAAAATCTTGTTTTAAGAGATGCAAAACTGCTCAACAGATATGGATGAGCTTATAGCAACTAGCAGTTACTGAGCAAGAAATAGATCTTGGGGTAGTAATGGGCATCTCGATGAAAATGTCAGCCCAGCATGCTGCTGCTTTGAAGAAGGCAAGCTCCATGCTAGGCATAATTAGGAACAGAAGGGAAAAAGACCTGCCAAAATCGGACATCTCTTTCACAAATGTCTGAGACAACCACACTTTGAATATCGTGTTTAGTTCTGGTCACTGTACCTGAAAAAAGACATCATTTGGGGTGGTTAAAAGTACAGAGAAGGGAGCAAAAATGACTAGGGGGCAGAAGCAGTTCCCCTATGTGGAGTGACTACAACAACTGGACCTGTTCAGTGTAGAAAAAGGGTGAGACATGACAGAGGTGTTTAAAATAATGCACAGTGTGGAGAAAGTAGAGGGAGATACATTTTTCTCCCTCTTCCATAACACTTGAACCCAGGGTCACCCCAGGAAGCTGATTGGTGGGAGGTTTAGGACAGATGAACCAAAATTACTTCTTCAAAGAGCATATAGTAAAACTATGGAATTCACTGGCACAGGAAATTGTGAAGGACACCAATTTAGATGGGGATTGGACAGCTTTCTGAGGGAGGAGGCCATCAGTGGCACCCAACTTTGCTGGACAGGAGAGGATGCTTAGGAGCGATCATGTCAATAGCTCTGGCCATTTCCCCATTCCACAGTTCAACCAGAGCATCAACAGGAGCGCCAGCTTTATCAACCAGAAACTCCCCCAGAGCTTTCAGGAATCCATCCAGATCCATCCAGCTTCGAGGGCGGACTAACACAATAGGGTCTGCACCCTTACAGAGGCAAAGGCCGCCATCAAGCTCAAACCTCACCAGGAAGTGATCTGACCATGACAAGGGTGTCACACATAAATTGTTCACCCTCAGATCACCCTCTTCCTGCCCCGTCGAGAAAACCAGGTCCAGCTTGTGTCCACGTTCATGGGTCAGGCCTATGACATGTTGAGACAGCCCCGTGGCCATCATGGAGGCAATGAAGTCCTGAGCCACCCCGGTCAGAACAGTCTCAGCAAGGAGATTGAAGTCCCCCAGGACCAACATCCTGGGGGACTTCAACACCAGGTCCAAGATGATCTCTGTCAGCTCAGGCAGGGAGTCTGATGGGCAGAAGGGTGCATGGTACACCAGCAGAATCCCCAATCTGTCTTGGTCGCCCAATGCCAAATAAAGGCACTCTAGACCCGGTCTCGAGAGAACAGGAAGCCCTGCAAGGGAAATTGAAGCCCGATAGATTAAAGCAATCCCCCTCCCCTCCCCTCCAGGCATGGCTGGTGCTGGACCAGATACCTGGGCAGGCACAGTTGAGAGAGGGACACATCTCCCCCATCTCCTGCCCAGGTCTCTGTAAAGCAAGCCAGGTCGGCCCCCTCATCCACAATTAAGTTGTGGATGAGTTATGTTTTGCTATGGACCGACCTGGCATTAAGCAACAGCACTGTCAGGCCCGAGGGGCGGTTGATAAGCATACCCGGCACCTTCCGGTTGGGGGAATAACCAGAAGGGGAAACAGGTGTCAACCATTTGTCCCTCCTTCTTCTATACCGACACGTTAAACCCCCAACGCCATATCGACCATTGCCCCACACCACCCCACTGGTGGCACCCACGTGCTCCCCAGGCAACCCCATAGTACCAGCCAGGCATGAATCCATTAAAACAATCTAATAAAATACAATAAAAATACAATAAAAATACAATAAAACCCCCCAACCCACCCAATTACAAAAGCCCCCCCCCCCACACACACACAGCATCTCTGGCCAGCCCAGCCCCTGCATGGCCCCGAAAGGCCCCTAACGACAGCGATGCCCTTAGGCCATTGCCCTTCGGCTGCGGCTGGCAAGTTAATGCGACAGCCCCTCGCTGTGCCCCACCCCCAATCCAGCACAGCTGCCACCCACACTGAGGGGGGAGGGGCAAGGGCAGGGCTTGCAGAGAATTCGCTGGCAGGGTGGATTGCCCACAGGCCGGCAGCATCCTGGTCCCCGGTCCCACGGTGGCCACCGTCCATCCTTCGGGGCAGTGGTGGCGTCAACAGGCGGGTCGGGGTCTGCAGCGGTGTTGCATATGTTATCAACATATGGAGCAGGGTAGCAGCCAGGGCATCACAACTGTCATTGCATAACTCTAACTACCTAGCATATAGCTAATCTGCAAAAAGGAAAAGAAATCTGTGTGAAGGTGGTGTCATATGAAAACAGGAATGGTACTGAATGGAAATATTGAGGCACTCTAGTACGGCAATATCCGTTGTTTTTCTGGGAGCATCCTGTCTGAATCAAAAAATAAAAGCTTGCTGTGGCACAATCCTATGGCCTACCAGCATTCCCCAGGAGCCATAGGATTGTTTAGAGTCCATTATTCTAGTGGGCGGGGGGGGGGGGATAGGATCATTCAGAGTCCTCTGTTCCAGAGGCGATAGGATCATTCCAACTTCCGTTCATGGACTCCAACAGCCATGCTGTCATGCCCCACTTGCAGTCACACAGCAAAAAGAAACACCTGGAGAAGGATGGGGAGAAGGTGACCCAGGAGGGGGCAGGACTACCTACCTATGCTGATTCCTGTGAGTAGAAGAAGCTGCCACTAATACGCCTTGCTCCAGTCACTGCGTGTATGCAAACCTCTGCCTTGGGTGGCTTAAATGCATCTAAGGCAGGAGGTAACACGACGGTGCCATAATTGCATATATGAATTGCATATAATTGCATAATTGCATATAATTGCATGCTGATATTTTTATTAACTCACGCAGACATCCAGGTTTGGGGTGCCACCCCTTCTCTGTACATATTATTTGGTCTCCTGTGCCTTGTTTAATGGTTTCATACCCATCTTCACATTCATAGACCACTTTTTCCTTTAACAAAAAAACTGATTTAGTTGTGTTGAAGATAACAGTTCCATCAGTTGACTTTGTGCATGTCCCTGAAGAAAAAAAAGGATGGATGTTGTTAGCTCATAATGTTATAATCTTTCTATTCTCTGCCCTGAAACCCTGTGGACAGAGCAGATTGTGCAAAACTAAATAAGCAAGAAATGTAAACTATGCATGGGCAATAACCACAAATTCTGTTTCACACTAAGCTCAGTTCCTTAGATCCAAATTCCTGTATGCAACTGTAGGGACTGGAAAGCTGTCTTGGAGCATGTGTGTTGGTTTAGGGCAGGGGTCGGCAACCCGCGGCTCCGGAGCCACACGTGGCTCTTGAACCCCTCTGCTGCGGCTCCGTCGCTCAAAACGCGCGCCGGCACAGCCGCTGATCTGCTGGAAGCTCCACTCAGGAAGGCAGCGCTAGCTAGTTAAGTAAATTGCTACATTCCTCTGCTTCCTGCAGGCTCTCATGTTACACAAAAGATTCTCTTTGTCTCAAAGTAATCTCCTTCATCTGAATGTTAAAAGCTGCTCTTGGGACCTTCACAATTCACAGCACTTGACTGTTTATCTGCTAATCAGTCACTAAACACACCTATATCTCCTTACTGAGCTCTCCCCCACCCCCTGCTGTAGGCCAACCATGGATAAATCGAAGAAAGGAAAAGTTTCTTAAGAAACTAAACGTTTAATGATACGTGAGTAGATTCATTTGCTTTTACTGCTGACAAACTTATGGGGTTTGCTGTTTAATGCATGCAGCCCCTTAGCACTGACTTTGACTCTGCAGGAAGCTGTTCTCCTATTCAAAATATATGAAAGGAATCCTACTAGTTTATAATGTAAGATTAAAAATAACATTTTTTAGTGACTGAACAAGAGCTGCAGCTAAATCATAATGAAGATATACATAGCATAAAGGTAAAAAACGATATATGCAGTGTTATCTTCATTTTAGATGTCAAAAGGGTTTTGCTGCTCCCGGTGTTTTCTTTTGTGTGGTAAACGGGTCCAAATGGCTCTGTGAGTGTTAAAGGTTGCCAACCCCTGGTTTAGGGCAAGGGTAACACAGAAATATCAAAACAGGGCTTCCTTAGCAAAAAATAATCCAAGGGATTTTTTGTTGGCTTGCTTGTTTTTAACAAGCAAACAATCTCTTCCTAAAAGGTATTATTCTGTAAGTGCAGCACTGCTAGAAATCCAGTGACATTTGTGTGTTGTAATTCTGCCATCCCATTAATATAAAAAATTGAATAAGTAAATACAGTACATGTTTGTAGATTTTCTGCATATCCAGAAAAGTCTGAAGCAGTAAAGTTAGAAAACATTATATATATATTGTAGAGTCAGAAGGAGGAGGGCTTGAGAAAATGAGGCCTTAAGGGAAACGGGATTTTCCTGGGCCATGTTGAGTTATCTTGCCATGCAGCTGAATGAAGCAGCCACAAGAGATAAAAGAGAAACGAAGGCCTACATTGGTGTCTGAGTTGGGAGGAAAGACTTCTGAAGGATTTCAGTGCTAGTAGGGGATGGCATGGGAAACATCAAAGCTCTACTTGACCTGAGACAGGAAAACATCTCAGGCTTGTACTGAGCCCCTGGAGGAATATTCTGGAACATATCTAAGATAATCACTCAGTGCACAGCATCACCTTGAACATTTCTGACTGTCTAAAATGTGCTGATTGGATGCTCTTGTTGATACGAATAGTGGAGCTACACACACTGAGTTGGAAGCATCTAGGCAGCATCCACATTGGCGCTACCGGTGATACAAATCATGCTGCACTGGCATCAGGTCCCTTGGTGCCCACAGTGTTAACTGGTAAGGCTGTTTACTGGAGAAGCCTATCGTGCCAACTAACAGGATTGGTGTTGTGCCAATGGCCAGTTATTCCACTGCATAAATGAGTTACTACTACCAATTTTGTTCTGGGACCTGTCCGATGGCAGGGCACCATGCGGTTTGTGCGATGCACTCCCCAAATATAGTTTGAACGATTTAACATGGATGTTTGGTGGCAAAATTGTAAACAAGCTAATGATGAGCCTTGCAGAGTTCTATAAGTTCTATAACAAGAGTAAGTAGGTACTCTTGTGCATATATGTATATGTATGCATATTCATTGCCAAATCTGGTGGTGCAGCAGGGCTTGTATGCAGTTTGTGGCTTGCACTAGCATAACCCAGTGCGCACGAGCGCTTGTGTCACATGGACCACTGCCTTTTACGGAGCATTTGCATGGCCTGGATTGACCGTTAACTGTAGGGATACAGTCCAATGCCTTCAGCACTTGATGCATGCCAGCTTCCAGATTCAGAGAGTTACGTGTATCAAGTGCAACACACAAGGTGTGATGGCAGTGATTTTCCCTGCCCCATTCCTGGAGCCCTGCATTTCCTCAGGAGGGCTGTTTCTGGAGCACTGCGGAACAGGAGGGAAGCAGGCTGGGGTGTCCAAGGATAAAATGTACACTGTTGGCCTCACCATGTTCCCATTCCTGATCTCCCCAGCATGCCCCTTATCTTCCTTTCCAAGGACATTTTCCAACCTTGCATAGTCAGCCAGCATGGCCCTTCATGCCAGCAGCAGAAGGGCAGGGACATGGCATTCAGAGCCCTGACAATATAGTCACAGGACCCTGGAGCAGAAGCTCCAGAAATCCTCTCACTCCTGCCCGCCAGGCAATGTTGGGAAGCCACAGGACTGCACCCTAGATTGCTTTTCCTATTGACGAGAATGACTTTTCCAAGCTGCAGTAGATCCTTCAGTTTTCACCCTGCCTTCCCACTGTCCAGCATGTGGGCTAAGCAACACAGATATTGCCAGTCATTAAGAGTGAGGCCACATATCCAGGAGGAAACCTTTTTGAAGTGAACAGGCCTTGATTTTGAGCAGAGTCAAAGAGGGTTGTAGTGTAAACTACTTACTGATACACTTAGGTGTTGGTATCCAACCAGCTGCTAAGCAAAGGGTCACTCCTCTGTCGAGTCCTTGTAGAGTTGTGAAGCCAATCTGACAGCCGTATTCTGTACTCTCCCCCAGGGAATAATTGTGCCTTCGTTCCATAAAGAAACCATTTGGTAGGTCAGAGGGTAAGCACATGAGTTCCTCTAATGGAGGAAAAGGAGGTTATTTCCTAAGGCCATAGGAATGCCTTCCTGGATGCAATGGAAAGCCCATCTTTTGCAGCACAATGCTTTCAGTGATGGTTATACAGATATCCTCCACTGATCTTTGCATGCTGCTCAGCTGGTAGACTCCTCCTTACTAAATACAACTGTTGCAAAGTGTTGTGCATACAGAATGGGCAATTGAAATTCCTAGGTGCCAACATCCATGTTCTGCCTTCAGTGTGTGCATGGCTTTCTCAACTGCAAAGCTGATCACATTGCTCTGTACTTCTTTTATGTTGGCACAGTAGGAAATGCAGGTCCCAGATCGTGATAGACTGGAAACTCTTTCTTCTCTCTAGAAATTCCTCCCTGCATTCCAGGAACCAGTTTTCCCCTTCTGTAGAATATATTTGTTGTCTCAGTTGTTTAGGAGAGACAACCAGAAGCCATGGCTTTATTAGTGGCAGAAAACCCGTTTATGGTTTCGGCCTGATGTATGGAATGGGACTATGTAATATGCAAAATTGTGCCACAAATTACCGACAAAATCTATATTGATTATGGAGGCAGTGTGCATGGTTATGTCTAGGAACTGTTCTTATGCTTAATTTAGATATGAGGACAAATTTCTTATAGCTGGAATTGTGAGTGTTCTACTTGCAGCTCTTTGTTTAATGACTTGCACTTTGGATCCTAGTCCAAATATTTTATACATGCAAGGAGAGGCTGGCCCAAGGGCTTGTAAGGAAATTGTTTTCAGCATTCATAGATCTTATTTCAATTTCCTGATGTTGTGGAGAAGTTCTTAGCTTTGGGAAAGCTACGTGGTGCAACCATTGACAAAAGGTTGCTGTAGCTAATTCAAAAACTCTATCAAAATATATTTGTGTAGATTTGAGTGGGCCACCATGGATAACTGACTTACGATGCAGGGGTCAGACAGAGACAATTTTAACCTTTAAAAACAACAATACAATACAGGGTATATTTTTGTCCTGTGCCCCTCCTGCTTACTCTAAGTCAAGCAAATTTCCAGTTCTAGTGCATACTGATAATTTAGTATGAAATATGAAGAATTTTAGCCAAAATTATTTCCATTTGCAAAAAGGAATATCTTAGTATTAATGACACAAAAGCTAAGATTTTGCCTGTTTGGGGAAAAGAACAGGAAGCATGAATGGCAATGGATAGGTCTCCATCAAGCAGCCCAACCCTCCTGAATAACTGAGAATACCTTTTAATGAAAAACTCAGTTAGAAAATCCATTTTGAAGCTGAAAAGCCAACAGCATGAAGAACTATCAGATGCTGAAATGTCGTTTTTTCCCCACAAAAAAGGAGAGGTGTTGTGGAACGCACCCTCAAGACAGGAAAATACTTGCCCAAGTGTCCCAAAAACTGGAATGGGGACTGCACAGTCTCACTGGAATCACTGCAGTGAATATCTGTGAATATCTGAAACTGCCAAAGGATTTTTCAGAGCCCCAGCTTTGACCTCGGAAACTCGCCCTGAGGTTGATTCTGAGAGGTTGAACTTAGACCATCCTGCTGCCCTTGTAGCTGGAAGAGAAAGCCCCACACCAGCCATGACTTTGTGATGGGGAAACATGCTGCTGAAATCATTCCCATCTCCAGCTGGAGCTCAGCAATTCTGCTGGATGCTTTTCTTATTCCAAATTGATTTTCCGTAAGAAAGGCTTTCTTCCATAATGAATAAATCCCCCCCTGCTTTGTAAAATGCCTCTTGCCTTCAGAACTCACCATTTTGGGAAGTACAACACCTCAGCAGTAGAAATGGCACAATCAAGACCAAGCAGAGCTTCATAATGCTTCAGGCAAATTTCTGTTGCTCTTTCCCAGGGAAATTTCTCTTTCGATTACTAATCACATAAAGGGTTGATGCTACAAAAGTCCTTCTTTGGTTTTAGTTAATTAGTTCCTCTAACCCAAAGTCTTAGTGATGTGGCAACTGCTGTGTTTATATTTATTGATCAGAATGGAGAAAGCTTTATGGGAATGTGGCAAATATGTGTAAACTCAGTCAAGGTTGTTGGCAAAAGAAAGGTGAATTTTGTGTTGCAATTCTGGAAAGAATGATTAAAGCAACACTGCTCAACCTTCACCTGCCCCCACGCCACTGATCTTCCTTTTTCTGGATGGTGTTGCACCATTTCAGGCAACTTGAAACATGCTGTAAAATGTTTCACAGCATGGAGATGCCCATTAGCAGAACTTGAGCCTGCAGCAATCAGCTCATGTTTTTATTTGGTTTTATAATCCCCATGTCCTATTTTGCAGCTCACAGGGACATATTTGCCATCACTCATTTTCTCCACAGAACCGTGTGAAATTGAAATTAAGCTGAGAGATAGTCATTGGCCCAAAGTTGTCCACTTAATGCTATAGCTCAGTGAGGTTTGAACCCAAATCTTTCTGCTCAAAGTTTACAACTCTAGCTGCTACTTCAGACAGCCTCTCAACATGATTCAGTCCCATAGCAGAGCTGTATCCAGGCTACCTGTATTAAAATGAGGAATCCTAAATCTTAGACCTGCACATTGGCAAGTGTAAATGTTAGAATACCAAATATTTTGAATCTATCATAATGTTTGGTGTTGAAGAGGGGTGATGAATCTCTTTCATCCTGAGGATAAAAGTCCATTTTAGGCAAAATCTGAGGGAATGCCAAAAGGGAATAGCAACTTTATTATTTTCTATATGTTTATTATTACATTAAGACATCAAAATAAAAATAATCTTTCTAAAGTTTGTTCTTAACTCATATCCACCTAAAATTTGCCATCAGCTATTAAAACCAGCCTCAGTCAGTTAATGAAGTAAAAGTTTTTTATTGAATAACGACTCAGCTAAGTCAATTATAGCTTTCAAAGTCAAATCCAACATATATCTAAGGCAAACCAGGCAGATCATTGTTGTTGCAAGAAGTACAACACAAAACTCACAGACCTTTTGCAAACACTGCAAGCACAGTTTAAAGGTCAATGTGCTTCATTCCAGTAGATATTCCTCCTTTTTCTCTCAAACAAAGAATCAGCCAAAAGCAAAGGGGAAAGCTATGGTGCAGAACAAAGAAGTAACTGAAGCAAAGTAATTGAAACTATGGGGAAAGAATGAACCTTGGGGCATCCTTGGAGTAACTAGGAGCTGAAAGTGAAATTTTGCACACAGTAACATACCTTATATCATTGTCTACTTAGGCTGGAGGGCTAGTGGGAAGAGCTGACTGGCCAATATTGTTCCATTTTTTGCTATGAAAACAAAGTGCCTCCCAGAAATGTAAGTTCTGAAGGCAAAGTACAAATGAAGCTGTCTGGAAAACAGTTCAGTCCTTCCATGATAGCACTCAAACGTTTTGGGTACCTGTTTAAGATGTGTACATTAGTGCCTGCATGAAAATGTACACATGCTACTTACATCATTGTACATATTGAGCAGCATCCAGATTTACGCTGGATCAGCTGTTCAGAAGTGGGCTTCCTTGTGCCCTGATTTGTATGGCACTGCCTGAAAATGCTGCACAGAGGTCCATGTAGCATGTCAAGGATTTTGCACAGAATGGCTGCTGTGGCTGAACCCTGTTGTGGCTTTTCAATGTGGTACATTTGGTTCATAAGAAACAATGGTCTGTGCTATGATTTCCTTGCCTCACCATGGTTTCACCAGTCATCTGAACCTGGCATTGTGGCTTCCGTGCTTCAGGTATAAGGGCAGCAGCTGCAGGAGCTGCTCCAGCGATCCAGTGAGGGATTGAATTTCCAGTGCAGTGGCTTATGGGATACTTGCTGACAGTGAGGAGGGTGGAAACTACAGTAGTGTAGGAACCACTTGATCATCTGTCCAGTCACATACAGCCCCCTTCTCCCCCAAAAAACAACAACAACACAACTGTGCACCCTAGAAACTGTTGGTTGTGATGTGTGAACCCAGCCAGAGAGTCAGGTCCTGCTGAATTGTGTGGACTCTGGTGCCAGGGAGGGCAATGGGAATCCCAAAAGCTCAGGTAGAACTTCCTTCTACAAGCAGAGCCCTCCTTTTCCTGGAAGATCCAAGCCTCTTTCATTTGCTTCTATTCATTGCCATTTGTCTTTTGCCTGTTCTGGACTTAAAGCAAATCAACATCACTGGGTAAATGCAAGTCCTGCTTTTATAAGGGATAGCAAAGATCATTACCTTCTGCTATTCTATCCATACATTGAACTTTTGATGTTCCCAGCCACCTTCTTTAAAAGGGCTCTCAACTAAGCAACTGCCATATAAGAAATAATGAATAAAGAACTAGAGTAGTTTCAAATCCCATGTTAACAGCTAGATTAATGATCTACATTGCATGAAATCTTGAGAACCACAGATGGGAATGGTATACCCAATCACAAGAATTAAGCCTTTTCCCCTAACACATGTTAGCTTTCTGGGTGATCCTATAAATATGGTCTCAAAACCCATTGTGTAAAGCCCAGTATGGAAATGAATGTCATGAAGAAGAAGGCTTGTTTCGTAGAGAGACAGCCATGTTCTTTATTTTGGGCTAGGAGTAGGAAATAAACACACAACAGTCATCCTATGGTGGTACTCCCACAATTTTCTCTTTTTCCACAGGTCCTGATGGACCAGGAGCATTCCTACACTTTATGAATTAGACCACAATAAGCAAGTTTCAGGGAACTGTAGGGAAGGCACCTCTGATAGGATGCATTATTTCCCAAATAGGCTTTGCTTCATTAATAGGCCAGAAGGCCTACTGATTTGCACAGAGAAAGCAAGAGACAACAATACAGAAGCTGCACTAAAGCACTGAATCAGAACCAGTTCAGGGCAATTTAAGGTGATTTAAAAGGAGAACAGCTGTGTAGGACAGTGGCAGAGTTAGATTAAACCATCCAGCTTCCTGGGCCTGCTGCAGTCTTTGCAAATGGGAAGTACACCAAAGATGGAGGAACTTTGTGGCCCCAGAGTCAGGAGCCTTTCTGGGGAAACCTTGAGGTTTGTTTTGCAATGATGAAAGCCAAGGTCTGCTTTCAGAATATGATTAGCAATCTTGCCTAGTTTTGTCTTGCATCTTTAAGGATGACCTGAAGTGAAGAAATCAAATTATGAAACATTTTGCAACACAGACATAAACGTTGCCATCTGCTAATGTCCCCATCTCTGCTACTAGAGGTATAACTATGAGTGACTTGTTGAAATGTTCAGTAGAAGACAGATTTTAGAAAGTTTAGTTGCCAACCTGAACAGAGAGAAGCCTGATAAATCTCATTGGTGCAAGTTGATTTAACTACACCTGATCTGTTTTGAGTATAATTTCTATCAGTGCCTCACTTTGCCAGTCCTAAGAAAAAAGGAAAAGCCGTATTGGGTCAGGCTGAGGGTCAACCAACTGCCTGTGGGAAACTCACAGGAATGACATGAGTGCAATATCAGCTGGTGCACACAGGTATGCTGCACCTTAAGTCCAGTTTGTTCTAAAACAAGAGGATGTACTAGATTGAGCATGACTTCCTTTCTTGAAATATAAATTAAGCACAGTCATTGCAATCTTTTTTAAATCGATTGCAGAGGCATACCAGTAAGATATACCTGGATATGGGCTGGCCAAGAGGTTCCCTGATGTGGACTCTCACAAAGGACACCCAGTGTGACGTAGCGGTTAAGAGCACGGGACTGGGACTCAGAGGATCTGGGTTCGAGTCCCCGCTCGGCCATGGAGCCAACTGGGTGGCTCTGGGCCAGTCACAGGCTCTCAGCCCAACCTACCTGACAGGGTTGTTGTTGTGGGGATAAGATGGAGGAGGAGAATGATGTAAGCTGCCTTGAGCCCTTTGTAGGGAAAAGGCAGGATAGAAATCCAAAAATATAAATAAATAAATAAATAAATAAATAAATAAAATTGGCTATCTTAAGACCTGGGAACCTGATACAGACTGACTCTGCAACTGATCACATGGCAAAAGGGAGTATAGTTTCACATCTGGCCTAGAAGGTAGATAAGGATTCATAATGCTGCCTGGATTTAGGGCGCAAGACAGATGGAACTGGAGAACAAGAGGATTCTGAGGAGAAGGGAGAATCAGGTATCTTTACCCAAGGTGAAACATCAAATGAAAGATGAAAGAGCAGCGATGCTTCTGTGGCCTTTTCTGCATTAACAGGCTCATGGCATGGTCAGGGGTGGTAGTCAGAAGAAGAGCATTAGCTACACCTATCCTAATACCTAAAGAAAGTCCAGTGAACAAGATCTCATGAAGATCCATGTCTTTGATTCGTAACCTTTCAGGTCTGAATTTTCTCAGTCACTCCATCAACTCTTGTTTATTAGAGTTAATCAGTAGCCAGGAACTACAACATCGAAAGGATTTTAGCTTAAGATCATCTTCCCAAACTCAGTTTGAGGAAGAGGAAGCCATTTGTGTGTACTACAGAGTTTGAGTGTTCCAAGCTATTTCACAAGTCTTTGGAAGGTGTATCCATGTCACCTGCTTGACTGAAATGAATGTCTGAACTCAAAAAGAATACATGTTGAATTGTTATGTAGTCAAATTCCTGTACCAGTTATGCTTCTGTTACCTGTTATGAATAGCTATGGTTTATTTGGGTTCATATTTGCACCCCAGTGGGTAAATTGTGACCAAAATCAAGGACTACAACTTCACAAGTATAACTGGAATGAATGAAATGATTTATTGAGATAGAATGGGAAATGCCATTAATTCCACTTCTTGTACAAGAAATGAAACCCCATCAGTGCAATGCAGTACAAAGAAGGCAATGAAATGTACATTAAACAATAATCAAGGTGGAGTCATGTAAATCAAAGAAATATAGTTTGGATATGCATAATTAGCAATTTTGCTGCTGACAGTGATAGAAATAGATATATCGATAGATTGCTAGGCCCCGTGTTAAGTCCTTCCAATTTTTTATCCAGCCCATGTACTTAAAAACTCTCCTGAGATTCCTAGCTATTTTAACAGCATAGCATTATAGGAGTGAGTTTGAGAGAATCATTGGGTGGATTTACATGACACTGGAAATGTTACATTGCTTCCTAGCTGCTGAGTGTCATTCTCATAGGCCATGTATGGACTCAGTGTGGGCTGGCACTGAACCATAGGCTGTTGATGAAAGATGGGAATTGTATTGAACCAGGACATGTGATATTTGTTTGTTGGTTGCAGTGCAGTTAAATTACAATTCATATACCTACATACATCTTGGATATTCCAGCTTGCCTTCAACACAGCGTTGTCTGAATGGAAGAGAGGTTGGATCTGGCGAATAGCCAGCTTTGCAGATAAACTCCACAAATTGTCCAGCTCTTACGTTTATTTCTCGAGTAGTTGTCCACCTGAACTCGATATTGTTAGGCCTCATGGCTACTTCAGTTGCTGGGCAATCATTAACAGAGTTCTGTGTAAGTAGAAAATCAACTTATTTTCAACATGCACATATTTCACTCTCGATAAAAGAAAAAAACCCCGTAACTGATTCAGCATGTGTGTGCTTGGTGGTTTTTTTCTTCTTTTGTGCTTTATACGTACCAGGATGCATTTTGGATATTCCAGCTTGCCTTCAACACAATGTTGTCTGAATGGAGGAGAGGAAGGATCTGCCTCATAACCAAGTTTACAAACAAACTCCACAGCTTGTCCAGATTTTACATGTATTCTTTGGGTAAGACGCCACTTGAACTCAATATTGTTAGGATGAATATCTACATCTGTCACTTGGCAATCATTGATATGGTCCTGTGCAATCACAAAACCATGCTACTATTAAAATGTGCATGCTTCTCATAGGTTAGAACAAGCAAATATTTAACCAATCCCCCACCCCCTGCTCCAGTGCACAACCACTGATCTGTCATGTGTGCCGAATTTTTTCCTGTTGTACTTGAATTACATTATGCATACCGAGACACATTTTGGATATTCCAACTGGCCTTCAGCACAAGGTTGTCTGAATGGAGGAGAAGATGGATCTGGGTGATACCCAGATTTGCAGACAAACTCCACCATGTCTCCAGATCTTACAATTGTTGTTCGAGTACTTGTCCTCTTGAATTGGATATTGTTAGAATTCATCTGTTCTTCAGTTGCTGGGCAATCATTAATATTGCTCTGTATTATCACATAAACAACTTACTTTCAGCATGTTTCTATTTCACTAAGGTTACTAGAAAACCAAACAAAATGCACAACCACTGATCTAACATGTGTGATGGATTCTTTCTGCTGCAGTTGAATTACATTATACATACCAGGACACATTTTGGATATTTCAGCTGGCCTTCAATGCATTGTTGTCTAAATGGAAGAGAAGATGGATCTGGCTGATAGCCGAACATACAGACAAACTCTACAAATTCTCCAGAACGTGCATATAGCTTGTTTTCATCTCTCCACTTCAAATGGATCTTGTTATGTTTCATATCTTCTTCAGCTATTGTACAAGGTTCTAAAGGAAGGCACAAGTCATTCATCTTTCAGTGAAGAGTTACCATGACAAAAGATGAATTCAAAAAACTTCTCTTTCAACAAACACACTATTTAAATTGACAGACTAACTATGAATCCTAGTGTTTTTCCAAAAATAATGCAAAAATGAAGCCTCCTTAAACTGTGGTTTGCTTTCTGATTTTGTTTCATTTATTGCATTTCCAGAATGTTTCTGTGGTGTGAGCCAAGGAGCTCTTGAAATGCAAGCAACGGTGGCAAGTAGGGATGGGATGAAGCCTTTTGGAATCCATTCCTTTAGCATCTGCAGGCTTCCTCTTGAGCTGGGTCAAAAGGAAGTCTGTGAATGCTGGTTGCATGACTCACAACTTTCCCTTTCAGGACACGGACAAGGGTGTTGCTAGTGGGGTGCCATTCTTGGTGGTCCCAGTAACCAACCTTCTTCCAAATCCAGCGTTGCCAGCAGTAGTTGCCCTGGGCTTTGATGAGGGCTGCTACTTGTGCAGCATGTAGGATTCACTTCCTGCTGAGTGCCCTGTGACCAGTGGGCATGCTTGCCAAGGACGCAGACTCTACTCTGCTCCAAAGGAGACTGGAGTCTGGGGAGCTGAACCCAGTGAGTTGGATGGATTTCTACTCCTGGACAAATTCCTTGACCATCCCCAGTGGCAAGTTTCTGAGGTGCATGTTAAGCAATATTTAATCAATCTGTATAGTGGCGTTCAAAATCAGAACCTAATGAAAAAGCATTAGCTTTCTTCCATGAGTTTTGTTTGACTCTGTTACAGTGCCCATATATGCTTAATGTAGGGTAGGAAACACTATTAGTAAAAGAATTCATCAGTTTGTTTAACCATTGGACTGAGTACTATACAATAGGCTGTGTGGTCTGTGGAATTTCTTAGATATAAAGAAAGGTGAGTTTCCTTCCACCTGTGCTCTAATCTGCAGAACAGGGCAAAAACTGTGCGAGCTTCAGAACTATTCGTGTGTCTTAGCATTCTTATAGTATTTTGTACACTTACTACAAAGTGTGCTTACACATATATATCCTATCCATAATATATCCATCATAACCATAACAAATATCAATAAAACACACACATACACATGTTGACTATGGATGGCAAAGCAATTTGTAACAGAGTGAAACAGACTTCTATGAATCTGTCCTGGGGAATTCTTCAATGCAGGTGGCTTTGCAGGTCAGCTTTTAAAAAATGTTGTTGTTGTTGTTGTCGTCATTATCGTTATCATTATCATCGTCATTATCATCGTCGTTGTCATTATCATTATTGAGGTTAGCACACATGCACATTTATACAAGTGGAACACAATTGCTGTACAATCTTTTAAAAGAGTCATGAGATTTTGATTCATGAGGAGACGGGGGAACAAAAATCCCTGTCGATCCACAAAACACAGGCAGAGCAGATGTAGTGAAAGCTGAACCCCATTTCCCACCTTGGAGTCGTTCCTCTAACCTAGAAAGTTTTCAAGCATTTGGGTCGCTTTGGTTGAAGGGTAATTTATCCAGGACAATAACAGAATGTGATGCTTCCTGCTTAGAGAAAACTGGAGTGCTACTTGGTATTTAGTGGGGGCTGCCACTTGACTCACACCTTGTTCAGTTCTGATTTTGTTTTATGGGGTTAAGCAGAAAACAGCCCTCTGGGGTTGTGTCTATAGCTCAGACCTATTTGTCTACCCTTAACATCACCCATGTGTTCTGGAAAATCACTGATGGCTCCTCTGAGGTGGCTGCAAAAGAGACAAGCACCTACAAGAACAGCTTTTTCCAACCTTGTACCCAGCAGACATCTTAGACTACAATTTCCAGCAATCCAAGCCAGAATGGTTTGTGGCCTGGAATTCTGGGAACTGTAATTCCCTCTATCTGGAAGGTACCAGACTGGGAAAGGTTGCTTTAGAATCATCCCAATCTGAGTTGCATCCAGTTTGGCCATTGTGTCAATGAAAATGCTTCTTCTCTGTATAGAAGCAACTGGGATCTAGCAAGTGCTCCCTGTTCAAGGAAGGGTCAAGAAAGATGATCTTCAAATATCCTGCTTCTCCATACGGCATTACTTTGCTTTCAGCTCTACAGGGTGCCTGATCCATCCCTATTTTCAGGAGGCAAAAGGATCTTCAGCGGAAAGAAAGAAGCATGGAGATTACTTTCCCATTTCCTTTCTCCATTTGGTATGGGACTTCAATGCATAAAATTCACACTTTGCTATATTCATTGTAGCTTTCAAGAGTGCAACAATATAGATGTTTCCCATACCTACACATACTGGTGTTTCTGTCCAATTACCATTGATGCAACGGACTACTGGAGAGCCTCTCATTATGTAAGATTGTTGGCATTTGAATGTCAGAACTGAACCTGATTCATAATTGTTCAGTGGTATCTCCAGAAAGTCTCCATTTTGAATAACAGGTGCATGACCACACCGTCTTCCACGATCTGCAAAAATACATTAGATGTGCATAGTATGATTACAAGCATGCTAGTATTCAGATCTCCTCATAAACTTATCCAGCATTGTGTAATAATGTATTTATTTTCACAATCGCAAATAATAGTAATCCAACCTTTGAAAGTTTATCTTGGTATGTTTCAAAACAATGAACTGTTTGTGGTGTTTTCACCAATTTGCTGCAAGGTGGTTGGGGGCACTGTGTTTTCTTTCTCTTCAGTGTTTCTTTCTATTCTGTATCTCTGTTTTTCTTCTATTGCACATCTCTCCATTGCTCTGCACCTCCCAGACTGCCTGAACTTCCTGATATGAAAAGCTGTACAGGAGAACATACACCTTATGCATTTTCCTGGGCTTTAATTGATGTGTAAAATGCCAAGAAGCTCCTAGATGGATGATTGTGCTATAAATGACAAAGTTTTCTCGCTTTCTTCATCTACCTCATAAGTAACAGAAACGCAGGCAACCAGAACTGAATCCACGAGAATTTTGTAAAATTTTCTTCTTCGTCTGGAATCTGACACAGTGCTAATTTTGATACATGTATCTGCCAAGAACTCTCTCACAAACATTTTTCCTCAACTGATGCATAGCTGGCCATTTTGTAAAGGGATTTGCCAATGGAATCTTCTTCCCAGAACATTCCCACAACTAATGCACTGTCATGAGACTAACAAAATATTTTGTTAGGTTTTGTCTGGAAAAAGAGAAGAGCAAGAGTTCATCACAGAGTTCTGTAGGACCAAAAAGGAGCAAAGGAGTCCATATAACAAACAAGCAGATCAGCTTGGCTTTTGCAATGTGCTTATTGACAGAAATAAATATTTCCATTCTTATAAATAAAAGCAGCCCCCCATGCATGGAAATCTTTGGATTTCCTACATCTCAGAATGCCTGGGGGGACCCCAAGGTTTACAAAAATATAGACTCTTTTTTCTTTAAAGGGCAACCTAAAGTGGGTGCAGGGGAGTAAATCAATGAGAGTCAAAGAATGGTTAGCGTCCGTTTGAAAAATAATGGAAACTGGGGCTGGGGGGTGGAATTGTAGATCTGAGCCTAAGAAGCATCTTGTAGAGGAGGGCATGAAAGGCAGAATCCTGAATGAGGTGAGGATACACAGTAAGGCCTTGTTGCCAGTCTGCTTCTTCAAATTTACACCCATGCCTCTACATGACAGCAGACAAACTCCTGAAATGTGCTAAGAAGAACTACTCCCATGTGTCTCCCCAGACACTCAGATGCACTGCATAGTATTCTGCCATTACAGGTTAATCTATGGTAATTCCACATCTAATAAGTGACCTTGTAAAACATCTGCCACCATATGAGGGCAGTCAGAATTCCACCACTTCATGGAGAAAAATATGACCTTAAACTGATTCCCAACTCTGACTCTAGTTCTACAGTTCTGCCGAAGTCAACTTCTTCCAAGGAATAACTCCTCTCCCACAATTAAATGTCACCTTTTGCCATCAGCACTTACCATGTTGGGATGAACAATATGTCCATAGGAAGCATTGAATGATACAGAAGAGCATGCCCTTCATAGTGCCCCACAGAATGCTCAGGTTCTCTATCCCACCGAATCTTCTCTGTACCACAGGTGTGTTCTGATCAGATACTCAAATTAAATATGCTATCAAGATCTCCCTGCTTTTGTGGCTAAGCAAATCATTTCCTCTAGCTCTATGACACAGTTCCTTTTTATTGATGTTAACTCACTGTTTGTTTGAATTTGTTATGAGAAAAAAAGAAGAATTTGCAGAATTTCCCCAGCAAGAAATAGTTGCATAAGACCTGTGATCAGGGCTCTTGGCAACAAGTGCTTAAATAAAAGCCTGTCCTTTGGCACTATATAGCCAAATGGTCAGGAAAAAATTAAAATAGCTCTTTCTGATTTTCTAGCATGTGATTACAAGCAGCAAAACAAGCTGATAACGATGGGTGAACTTGATCTGGCCTTGAAATAAGTCTACACATTAAACTCCAATGAAAGGCACAGCTGCAAGAGCTGATTGAAAAACTGGCCATTTTTCTATTGGATAGAAAAGAGATGTTCTAAAATTGGAAGAGGCAAGCTAAGGCAGTGTTCAGCATGCATAACTAAGCCGATTCAAATCAGCTGGAGACTGCCCCGAGTTTGGCAGAAAGCTGGCGTATCAATGGCATAATACAATGCCGCTGATTTCAGTTAAACTGGCTGTCGATTTTATGCTCTGCCATGTCAGGGAGGTTACCACCCCAGTGGAAAAGTCGGTTGATGAAGTGTCCAGGCAGAGAGGCCGTGGACTTAAGCATGCACTTCAGCAGGCACAGCTCATGTGTCATGCACTACTGCCGCTTTGCATCATTTGTTCGGATGAACAGAGTCATGAGAAAGTGGAGGTGACATTTCAGAAAGTGCGTCTCATGGAAGCTGCCCTGTCTCTGGTGGACCAACATGGTGCCTGCAAGAGCCCTGGAGGATGCTGTCCCATAACCAGTGCTGGACTGAGATTTGTGTGTGCTGCAGGACCAGGAGCAGATTTAAGTAATATGGAATTCCATGGCCACCTCCAGATGAAGGGTGCCCCCAGCTGGGTTGCCTACGATGTCATCATCAACTTCAGTATCCTACCCCCTTGTGAGCTGTAGCAATTGTTCAATCAGGGTTGAGGTGTGGGAACCTCTTGGTCACAATCTTCCAATAACATAGCACGGTGGAAGTGACTGACTGTGCAGCACCACAAAAATAAAAAAATAATAAAATGGTGGTGGTGCTGGTGGAAGTTGGCTAGGGAATATTCACTTACAGGGACGGATACTGCCATGTTGGTGTTTTGGTTTCATGTACTGGTTCCTCTAACCTTCTGCTTTTGGTATTTAAAGCATTTGAAGGTAGGCTACTGATTTTTTCTTTGATCTTGCAGTCCAGAAAGAGGAAACATCTCCAGAATTGGGCATGTTTTTGGTGAAGGCCAGCTTGGAGCTTTTGCTGAAGAGTTGTTTGTTTTGTGTTGTAACTCTGCCTGCGATAATTAAATCCAAAGTCTACCTTTCAGTGTAGGGTTAGCAGTTGATAGGAATTACCCAGTCTGGCCTAACTTTGTTCATTTAAGGGCATCTTCCAATGGTCTCACATTTCTCAGCCTCTTTGTGGGATGAGAAATTGATGTGGGGATGGAGAGAGAACATTACACTGCATTTCCCCAGCTGGAGGTGGGGAGTGAACAGTTTCTGGCTGGTGGGAACTGTGATTAGCTGTGACACACATACATCCCCTGCTTTCCCCCCAAATGTTTCCCCAACAGCACAATCCTATACATATTTAGACAAGGACAGGACCTACAACCTCCAGTGTGCCTCAGCCAACCATGGAAATGTGCGAGAGAAACATGGACAAATAGGGTATCCTATTTGATAGGATACCCATAATCCTCTGAGTTCAGAGGGTTATGGCAGCCATATTTGATTGTGTTGTCAATTGTACAACATCTATCATGAGCTGATCCCTTCCTTCTTCCATTCTGTTTATCACACACAAGAAAATCTTCTGAAGTGCAGCTCTTTTATTGGAACCTAGCAGATACCAGAACAGTATGAACAGTAAGCCTTCCACTAAAGTTGAAGAAGCATCTGCCCATGTAAAGAGCTGAAAGCAAAATTGAAACTTCTCCCCTGTCCCTCCCTTTCAGTAAAGCTTCTGACTCGTCCTTCATAGTGTCTCTTGCTGCTTGAGGGCAAGATGGCAGGAACACCAGAGATCCTCTAATTGGGCAGCTAATTTAGCCCATCCCCTCCTTTCTAGGTCAAAGTCAGGGTCTCGCATCTGTTTCCTCACTCCTCCTGAAAGCCCTTCTGTTCCTTCCAAAGTAGGCAGATTCTCCTGCTCTGCCTGAGAAACTTTACTAGGTCACCTTGAATGAGTGAAGTCCTCCTCTCCTCCTTGCTCCTTTGCCTCCTTCTTGGAATCAGACAAATGTATCTGAAATGAGTGAGAGATGAGCAACATACATACAAATGTCTTTGTCAGCATCTGTTGAAAAGGAGAGATCTCCCCCTAGCTTGTACCAATGGTCATTGTACCAAGTTTACCAAGCAAATATTCTGGGTGGAAACTTCATTGTCTTTCATCCTGGGTGGGAACTTCACCCACGATAAAAGACAATGTCTGAAAGAGCAATTGTCTTTATTGATCTCTCTCTCTCTCCTTATCGTGGAAACCCACTTGGCTTTGAAGGTTTTACTGGACTAATGACAAGAGAAGTCCCAATGCAGACAAAATAATACGAATATGATTGCAGAGAACAGCATAGGTGAGCTGCATTTTTTTTTTTTTTGTCCCTGAGCATATTCTGACAGACTAAAATTAGCCCAAACTTACATGAGAATGTGTAGTGAATGTGGAGAGAAGGAAAAAGGGGAACATTGGCCAAGGTTGGCTTGACATTCTGTTCAACAGGCCCGGTACAGTCTTGCTTCATGTTTGCTCTTTTCTGTCCCCTTTGCAAGGTGCCTGCTTCTCTCTCAATCTGATATCCTTCTGGAAATCATCCCTTTGGTCCTGGAGCACTTCATGAAGAACGAAGTGTACACCCAAAATATTCAAGTTAGAAATTCCTGGGGTTGATAAGTTAAACCTCTAGTGTGATGGTTAGAGAGATGGGGGTGGGGAGGTGTCAAGGGTACCCAGCTTCTAGTTCTCACTTGGCCTTGAAGGCTGTCTTTGGACCAGTTACTTACTCTCAATGTAACCTGCCTCACAGGGTTGCTGTTAAAAGGAGAAAATGGAGCATATGTAAGCCACCTTGGTTTCATCACAAGAAGGGAAAAGTCAGGTTATAAATGCAATCTAGTAATGATGAGGATGGTGATGAAAATTTCGCCTCTACTTAATATTAAGCTAGTTTCCAAAGACTCCTAGTGTAACAGTCAAGACACTTTAAAATATTATTTTATTTATTTATTTATTAAAAGCTTTTGTATGCTATCCTTTATATAAATATCTCAGGATGGCTTACATACTAAATTTATAGCCATGGCGTTAGTAGAGTTTGTTAATGAAAACTTAACCATAGGTGTTCTAAAATCAATGTAGTGTGTGTGATTATACCTACTGGTTCAAAGGAAAACCACACATGCAATCTGTTTCTCATCTTTAAAATGGCAACTTTGCAATGTATATCAGCGATTAAGTAACCAGCATTTCAAACAAACATATGTGCACACATTTCCTGAATTGCAACAGGGCTAACAAAGCTACAAAACACCACCCATCTTTTCCTTGGCTGCTGCCATTCTTTCCCAAAACCATTGCAGAAGATATATTCTCCCAAGAGATGTGGATCAGTTTATTTCCGGTTGTTCTCAGATTGGTATTTGATCATTTGTGAAAGAATTCCATACTGTTTTAGATTAATCAGCAATTCTCATCCTAAAATAATGCCAAAAAGCAAGTGATGGGTCTCCTGCCCCCGCCCCCCAGGACATCATTTATTTATATATTCATTGCATTTATTTTAGACTATTCAATCACTGAAAACCTCTAAAGAAATTATTTGTGAGACTACAGCCCTGGGATAAGTCCTGGGCCTCAGTCGGATCCACATAAACAAACATAAGGTAAAGATAGATGAGGAATGTGTGCCATTGTTTGGAAATGGACCAGATTTTTTTTATAATAAGTTTTATTCAAAACAACCCTAAAACAAAGAAAAACTAAAAACAGCATCAATCATCAAAAACATCGGACCTCTAGGTCAGCCCTCACATTTTTTCCATTTATGATCACTTGAAAATATATTTAAATCTATACGAAGTCCCGTTTCTTTAGCCAATAATAAAAAGAGTCCCAAGTTTGATAGAAATCAGTATATTCTTTCTCCTTCAATGGCAAAGTCAATCTATCCATTTTGGCACAGTCCAAGATCTTTTTTAGGATCAGTTCGTTGGTGGGTGGTTCTTCACTTTTACAGTGTTGAGCAAATGCAATCCTTGCTGCAGTAATTACATGTAAAATCAAGTACATTTCTTGTTTACTAATATCAACAGGTATAATGCCTAATAAGAAGACTTCAGGTTTAAAAGCTAAGGATTTTTGTAACATTTCCTCAAGCCATTTATGTATTTTAATCCAATACTTTTTCGCATTATCGCAAGTCCACCGCATATGATAGAAGGTACCCAATTTATGTTTACATTTCCAAGATCCATTTGACATATTTGGAAACATCTTAGCTAATCTATTTGGCGACAGATACCATCTATAAAACATTTTATACAGGTTTTCTTTATATGAAGTTGCTAATGTTACCTTAGCATTTCTCTCCCACAGCTTTTGCCATTTTTCTAATTCAATATTATATCCAAAGTTTTTGTGCCCACATTATCATAGTTTCCTTAACCTGTTCATCTTCCATGCGCCTATCGAGTACGAAATTATATAATCTTTTAATCATTTTCTCATCTGATTTAAGCATCACCTGATCAAATGGTGTTGACTCCTTATAAAAACCCCACATTCTATGATCTTTGGCATATCTCAATTGCATTTGAACATTGTGCCACCAAGAAATATTAATTCCTTGTTCTTGTGTTTCTTGATTCAATTTGAATCCTCCATCATTATCCAAAATGTCGTCATAGCTTATGATCCCTTCAAAGTTCAATGCATTTGGATATACAAGAGCTTT